AATTTTGTGATTTGTATGCACATTTTCCAAACTTTAATTGTGTACTTTGTCATCTTATTTTTATATATGAAAAGATGTATTTCACTTTTTAAAAATTAAAACAGTATCACTTTTAATGTGATATGAAACTTTCAGTGTTATAATTGTAAACAAGCAAAGTTTGAGTACTGTTAGATATGCAGATGTATAAAAATTTCTTGGTGTGTTTGTAAATGCCCCTTATTATTTTTTTTTTCTTGTATGAAATGACAATTATAATTGTTGACAAATAGGGGTGCAAACAAGGCAAACGCGTGTTCGCCTCGTTTATATTTCGAGCTCAAAAAGTGTGTTCGTATTCGGCTCGTTTGCTTAACGAGCCGAACACGAGCCATTCACGGACAAAGAGTTGTTTTGACAACCCTAATCACGTAGTGATATGATGTTAAAAATTGGGATAAGATTTAAAACATTATTTGAATCTGATTTAATAATTTATTACTTTTAATTGATTATAAATCTTTATAGTCTTGTAGTCAATTAAATTTTTTAAAAATTTTACTCATCAAAGATCAATATATATGTATGTATATATAAAATTGATTAGTAGTATTTCGAGTCAAATGCTTCAATCAGGATATGTTAAATCATATATATTTAACAGCCTCTCAATCAGATATATTAAATCAGCATTACAATTTCAGTAGTTTTAATGGTTGATCCTAATTAAATGATGATGATTTCATTTTATTATTTAATAAAGTACCCAACCCACTTCTCTACGACCATAACCAAGTGACAAAATTAAATTATACTGAACATTTCTATATGAATCGAGCATAGAGTCTATTACAAATACAATGAAATGGTTACAAATATACTGGCTAATCATATATCATGAATTACTAATAAAAAAAATATAATTATATTTTGAATAAGCTCATTAAAAAACATCAGAAGTGGTTACAAACTCAAAATGCATCAAAAAAAAAAAAAAAAAAAAAAAAATTATATTTGGTCCCTTTAAAAAAAGAAGATTTGATCCCTTTAACAATTGAATTAAATAAATATGATGAAATTAAAATTAAATGGTTATGTAATGTACAGGCAGATGTTCTTCTTCATCAAACTTTCCTTCTTCTTCATAAAAATTTCCTTTTCAGAAGAAGCACTAAATCTTCATACAATTTTTCTCAGTAAACAAGCGTTCAAAATTGAAGGCTGTGATGTCGACTGGAGTAGATAAATATAAACAGATAATAAAATCTAATGTCAACTGCCAGAGAAGAAAAATACACAGAATTTAATATTAACTCAGGATTTAAAAACTAAAAGTTCTTATTCGGCAATATTTGACTTCATTTGAGATAAGATTTTAACTGTTGCTTGTAATAAAAACAAAAAAGCTAATGATTTCTTTCATCACTGATGATGATTATAATCCAATGGAAGTGGTTGAAAATGGGTTAGATTTTATGCCTTCGACTTCTCCCCGACATGAAGGTCGGGCTCGACCTCGTCACCAACGTGAATTATGTGTTGGCAATGATAATTATATATCCAATGTGTAAGTATTGTGGGGGTGATGAATGCTTCAGTATGTTGATTAAATTTAGGCTGTGAATGTCATGAAATTGATATTATTGATTCACATAATTCAAATCACACGTGATAATATTAATATGGCATGATGATAGTTCAAAAAGTGCAAGGTCAAAGAAAGTTAATGGAGCTTTTTGACTGTAATGAGAAAGTAAGAGTTCAAAAGGGAACTTTCAACGGTGGGGAGAGTTTAGACTTCGGAATAAAATCTATGTTGCCATTTTGGAAGAGAGTTTAAATGAAGGGTATTATGATTTGTTCATGGAGTGTGTGGTGAATTGATAAGCCATTCCACCTATATGGTTTTTGTTGGCCACATTGCTTTGATATTGAGAGCTTTTCAGTCCCTTTTTGAGCAATAAGAAGGTGAGAATCTAAATCATATGATTCCTAACAATGACAAATGGATTATTGATGTAATATACTCCAAAATTTAATCCATTAGAGATCAAGTCAAAATGTCATATATATTTTGATGGCCTTGAGATTGAGGTTGAGGATGATTTGAATTGAATAATAGGATTAATGCCCCAAGTTTGAGATTGTTATTAATTAATCAAAATTTATTTGAAGAAAAGATATCAAAATAAAATCATGATCAGTATTATAAATAGTAGGAGTATAACACATTATAGGAATTGAGCATATTTATGTTGGATAGATCATACGCAAATTTGACGACTTTTAAGGGTTATCATCGAATTTGAGCTCGATTTATGTTCAATTTTTTTCGTTGTTAATCCGGGGCCGGTAATGTTGTTTACGTCCAATTTACGACAAAATTTTCAGACACAAATAATTTGTGTCGGTTATTGCGTCATATTAACGTCTGATTTGTTTATACAAAAAATGCGTTGAAATTTGCGTCCGAAAATATTGAACGATAAATATTAGCATTGAATTACCGTCTCATTTGCGTCAGAAAATATTATAAAATTACATAATATTATTGCCAATGTAGCATCGAATTTTGCGTCTGAAAATGAATGTAGATTCGACGCAAACCTGTAACACTGAAAAATGTTTTTTAGAATATCAATTACATTTCCGTAACCTGTAAAAAAACACAGTCCACATCACATACCACACTAAACATAGCTATATCATAGATCAAATCTCCAAACAGTATTATTAATAAAATAAAGATACTGTCACAAATCGTCTCAAATAAGAGCAGTAAATTTAATCCAAAAAATTCTACAATAAATGTTCAACATAATGCTTACAAATAAAAGAAAATATAAGAAAAAATATTCATCATCTCCATCATTCTCCTCCTCATTCTCCTACCCTCCTACACGGATGTCATCGACTGCTTGCCTTGATTATCTGCTAAGGTTTCTGTCATGCACACTATAGAGTCCTCGACTCTATGTTGTTCTTCTAGCATCTAATCGTGCAATCGGCAAATCTCTTTGTTCATTGTAGCTCCCTGCCTGACTAGAGCCTCCTGGTTTGGTTGTGAGGAGCTCAGGGAACTAGGAACGGGACCACGAAAGAGCTCGGCCTCGAAGGCTATGCCCTTCACTCAAAGGTTGTAAACCCTCCCCTTCTTCCTCCTTGCCACCCAGGCCCAAAGCTCATACTTGGAATGCACAGTGGTTGACTTACTACCACTGCTGCTGGCGGATGTTTGGGCCTGAGTGGCCAAGTGCTTCTCCCGGAACTATTCGAACTCCTCCCGCATAATGAAAAACAATGTTTAATTGACACTTTCAATAGTTATAGTCAAAATAAACTTTTAATTTATGGTTTTTAACTCACAACAAATCATCGAGAATGCTCTGAGACTAATTGTGCGGTCCCTGAGTGCCAATGAGTTTAAACATATAGCTCCGCAACGGAGGGAGTACGACTCAACTCTTTTGCATGGGACGCGGGATGTGTCGCATCGCTGGTCTGCCTCTTGCAGGTGATGCGGGTAGAAGAAAAAGGACGCGAGTAATAGAGGGAAAGGTAGAGACGGCTAGTGTTTGGCCCTTATACCAAATTGAAAGAAAAGTACGCCAAAAACCTACTGTTTCATTAAGGATATGTGTTTAAATAGGATTTACAATGATTAAATAATAAACCCAATTAAACTCTTGTTACACATAACTCAACAACTTAAAACTAAAATTAGAATTGCATTTAGTTTATTATTTATGCTATTTGTCATTTTGCTTTTGGAACATGTTTTGGTAATAAACTTTGCCGTTGAAAATTATATTCTTGTTATTATTATTTTCTGTCATTGAACAAAAACAAAGCATAAGTTAGAGCTAATAAACGTTTTATGACTGGTGAGATTATTGTCTGTATATGTCGAGTACGTTGCGTAATTTGGTCAAAGTTTTCAAACTCCGTTGAGTTGAGTTTGTGCTGAAGGCTTGCTGAAGGCATGCTGAAGGCAGATTAGAGTACTTAAGTATATAGACTAAATATGAAAGAGACTAATAAAATATGCTTGCCATTACGCTAAGTGATAGGGATCTGATCTTCAATTGATTGTTTTTTTTAGTAACTCAAGATCCGCTTGAAAATTTTCAATCTATTCTCAAGTTATGGTGCACTTAGCCGCAACATAATAGTTGAAGTTATAGTTTATCACTGTGAGATCACCGGTTTGAATCACATATATTACTCTTTAGGCTCATCTTTTCTAAGAAAAAAAGATCTTGAGCTAAGCCAAGACTTGCTATAAGATGTCTATATTTGATCTCAATTCTAGCTTGATATAGCTCACTTTCTATTTGAGCTCGAGTCATTCCAAGATTGAAATGTATGATTAAATTATGTTGTCAAAATTGGGGAAAATTTATATTTGAAAGTGTATTAAGTATATGCTTAAGAAACATACTTAGAATATGCTTAGAAACTACCCCTTTTTGCAATGAGTTATAACATGTTTATAAGCAAAACAAAGCTAAAAAATATTGACTTTTAATGAGTATACTGTTGATAAATAATATGAAAGAATTTTCTGTTATTATTATTATTATTATTTTGAGGGAAAAATGAGCCCAAATAGGAATATGCTCCGAGTTGAACATATAATCTCATCATGAAAAATTACACCTTTAGCTACTAGAGTGCAGTTAATTGCATTCCAAGGTTAAATTTTGACCGGAGAAAAACTTAATTTCTGAAATTATTATGGGATAAAAAAAGTTGTAAGAAATTTAATTTTGTTATTACACCAACAAATCTAATTGCAAAAATCTTTCATAAAAAAATAATATTTTAAAGTTATGAAATGCACCCTTAATATGAAAAAGATGAAAAAAGTATCATAATAATTTCTTTTTAACAGTGAAAGATAGGAAGATATGCATACATACCACTCAATTCCCATGCATTTAATTTTCACATATTTGACATTTTAGCTATGCATAAAAAGATGTACTTCATATATATATACATATGAAATAGTGGTATTTTTAATGTGATATAAATAATTTGGATGTTATAAATGTTAAAAGTAAAGTTTAGGTGTTAGATATGTATTATATAGGATGACCTTTTTATGGGTTAGCACTGCAACAATTTCCCTCGTCTCTGCTTCCTTTCTGAACCAGAACTTCTCATCTTTGGCTCATATTAAAGGGTTAAAAAACCTCTTGCTTCTATATACTCCATTCTCAACAAAAATAAATCCATCACCTCCCAGTTAACATTGTAATGGAATTATCTGCAGAAGCAATCTTCTGATCCAAGGTAGATGAGTCCGTCTCACTTTGACTAATATCTGCTGCAAACTTAGGCTGTCGTGGCATCGGATGAGCACAATTCTCACCCTCTAACATAACAATCACAGACGACATCGTTGGCCTATCATTCGCTCGATCCTGAATACATAAAAGCCCCACATTCACACATCTGGAAACCTCCCTCACCGAGCAGGAACTCCTTATAGATGAATCCACCAACTCCATCACGTTGTCTTCATTCCATAGCTTCCAAGCCTACAAAAAAGACACAAATTTGTTAGTCTGAATTCATCCACAAAGTGTTTATCAGCAAAACCATACTTCCACTCACGTATCCTAAGAGGTTAAGCGACAGTTCAGAGTTGTAGTATGTGCTGTTCCTCTTCCCACTCACAATCTCTATGAGTAGAACTCCAAAGCTGTAGACATCAGATTTTACTGAGAACAAGCCTTGCATTGCATACTCTGGCGACATGTAACCACTGAATTCAAATAAGAGATTTTTCTTAGAATGATGTCTGTTTTTGTATAAAGAATATATTCATTCATGTAGAGATGAGCTTACTATGTTCCGACCACCCGCTTCGTGCTGGTTTCATTTCCATCGTTACCAAAGATCCTTGCCATGCCAAAGTCTGATATTTTTGGATTCATTTGTTCATCAAGCAAGATGTTGCTCGCTTTTAGATCGCGATGTATGACTCGTAATCTCGAGTCACGATGGAGGTAGAGGAGTCCTCGAGCAACGCCTTCGATGATGCTGTATCTTGTGTTCCAGTCCAGAGAAAGTTTCCTGCTCGCGTCTGCTGAAAAGTTTTATATGATATGTTAAGGGTCGAGATAAATAAAATGATTCATGTAGTTAAGAAAGGAATAGGGTTTATAAATTACTGAATAAGCAAGCATCCAAGCTTCTGTTAGGCATGTATTCGTAGACGAGCATCTTGTCGTCCCATCTCATGCAATAGCCTAAAAGCCTGACTAGATTTCTGTGCTGCAGTTTAGCGATTAGTATAACCTCATTTTTAAATTCTTCCATTCCTTGGCCGGAACTCTTTGAAAGCCTTTTTACAGCTATTTCTTGCCCGCCAGGTAACATGCCCTACAAAAAAAGCATAATTGTTAGTGTTTACATGAGAACTTTTCCTCCTGAAAACTACTTGGAAGCTGTCTGTATTTGAAATTTGAAATGATCAATTCCATTAAGGAACTCAACAGTTCATTGTAACATAATCCAATTTCCCTTCTCAAGGTCATTAGCTTGCACAACTAAGGTTTTATAAATTCCCATTGAGCAAGTTTTGTGACAAATAGTGTTCCAATATCTTTGGGTGAGATTAGTTTGAAAATGATGCTACTAAAGACAAGGTGTGGTGATGAACATGCTATTTTAACCTCATCAAGGTGTAGTGATGTAAAATGTAACTTTATATAAAATACCAAAGGAAAGACCTTTTTAATAAGCTTTAAGGTTTCAAGTTTAAAATAAATTCCACTGCTAATGTATCAGAGACCAAAATTCAAGCCCCTTTAAGATTCACACTCAACAAATTCAGTGTAAAAAAACCAAAAAACATGAGGATAAATTCAATGCTTGTAAGGACAGACCAAAACTCTCAGTCAATAAAATTAAAGGTAGTTGGCATTTTAGCTAAAAGTAAGTAAAACCAACGTCCTCCATGACGTATATAACTTGACAAATAAAGGAGCAAAGTTTATTTCATATTTTTTAGTACTCTTCCAGATATGGATAGAAGTCTTTACCTTGTAAACAGGACCAAATCCACCTTCTCCAAGCAAATTCGATGAAGAAAAGCTTTGTGTTGCTTCTTCTATAGTCTCAAAACTGAATAAAGAAACATCTCGTCCACCTTTCCCCTGTTCATGCATATCAATCACAGCAGAAAAGTCCGTCGATGGATCTCCACCTCCTCCTGATCTTCTTCCATCCACCAGACTTTCCTGACGTTTTATCACTCTTCTATAGAACTCTGCAAAAATTTAGCAGTTCAAATTTAGAAAAATTGGTTTTAATTTCTACATTGAGCTAAAGACAGCAGAAACAAATCTCACCTTCCATTCTACTTTTATACATCCAAATCAAAAAAATTCCGCCCACCATTAACGCCACGGCCGACAGCAAAATGATCACAATGACATACGCTTCTAATCCCTTCTTATTATCATCTTCGATAACAGATAAATATAAAAATTAAGCATGAATCAATAGAACATACCATAGTTGATATGAGAAGTACAGACTCACCAAATTCGGAACCGGCGAGTCGAAGATAGAAATCATTCCCACCGCTGGAGAATAAGTGGATGTCGACCAAGTCTCTTCCCCACATTAAACAACCGATCCCTGTTACAAAGCTGTAAGCTTTACAGGAGCAATTCATCAAACAAGCTTCCTCGCACTCGCTATCGATTGAAGGTCCCAACCACTGGGACAAATCCGGCAGTTTCACCCCTTGCATCAAATAGAACCCGTCCGGTTTACCGCCGGCGCTGGCAGCGCTGCCATTGTTCCTCTCACACAGCAGCGGCGTCCTCCTCACGCACCCATCGGACGAGTTCTCACTTTTCAACTCGAAACCTTTCAAACAGTTACAGGTCGGCGAGTTGCCATCGGCACTGTCCGTGCAGGACGCGTTGTTTCCGCACCGATTGTAAATCTCGCATTGGGTAATCGGCTGCGCCCAGAACTGATGCCAGTTTTTGGTGTCATTTGCCCACACCAGATGGCGTTCGATGCCATCCGGATTGAGAATGTAGCGGTGAGAGCTGTTGAATTGAGTGTAGTAGAAATACATCTTCTTCTCCTGCTCGAAGTTGCTGAGTTTGAAGCCGTAGATGTATGTAGGCACCATGTTCTGTATTCCTATGAACACCTGCCCGTCCCACCGACCGGAACGCCACCTCGGTTTGCTTCCTTCCCATATAAAGATTTGCGTTGACTGATCCGGCGCGATGCCCATGGAGAAGTTCCCCGTTGCCGGGTCATCCAAGCTGCGCCAGGAGGTGAAGAACTGGTTCACGTTGGTGATGAGATCGAGGCCGACCTTCATGCCGGGGAGGTAGGTGTCAGTGGGATGGTCGAAGCTCTGCCACATGATGGAACCGCTGCTGTTGAGCATAAGATTGCCGTTGTCTAAAAGCTCCGCCGCCGATTCATTCGACGGAAAGGAGGCAACTTTTGATGACCAGACGACGTCCTCAAGGCCGTCAAGGATGACGAGGTTTCCGTCATCGGCGATGGCGAGGGAGCCAGAATTGTCGAGAACTGGGGAGTCGCGATTGGCAACCCATAGTACGGTGGAGGTGGAGAAGTCCCGGTACCAAATGCCTACGTAACGTTTGGTGGAGTTGCCGGGGCTGAAGAATCCGAGCTCGAATATGTCACCGGGGGAAACAAGAGTGGCGCCATCAGGGAGAGATTTACCGGGGGAAAGCAGGGAGCTTGATGCTGCCCGTGCTGTGGGGAGGACGAAGATGAAGATGAGAGTGGCAGCAGAAAGGACCAGGCTGAGAGTGGAATCGTTGAAGGGGTAAAAGCCACCCATGGTTCCCCCCTTCAGACGATTGGTAATCCGATTTGATTTTTATCGTTCTAAACGTCGGAGACGAAGCGAATTCCTTTTAAAGTTGACGCATTCAACCACTGAATGTTGAGAAACGAGTACTCGTGGGCTGAATGCAGGTGGTGCAGCCGGCAAGTTTGAATCTTTGAATGGGGAGCTTCAAAACATTCCACAGTACCGTCACACTACCGTTTTGAGGTAGGGGAAAAAAGCATTTACATAAATTACCATCCAATTCTTATGTATTTATTATATATCTTAGTTATTTTTTTTATTTTTATATCAACCAAATCTTTTTATATCACATTAAAAATATTATTATTTTAATTTTTTTATAAAATAAAATACAAAACATACATGCATACATTTAGTCTTCTCAATTGAATTTGTTCTTGCTGGCTTTGACTCTGACCACTAGCACTCATATTCTTGTAGCGGTGAATCCTATCTCGTCTTAATCTTCTACTCTCAACACGAATATATTTTTATTATACAATTTAATTTTTTTAAAGTTTAATTTATTAAATAAGAGAAAATACATCAAAATTCTAATAAAATGGTGTTACCTCACATGATAGATTTACTAAATAAGAAAAAAAAATCTTTACTTTAATGTATGATCTATCTCATTCGAACAAGTTATACAATGTTATTGAAGTCATCATATATTTCTGCATCAAAACTTATATTATAATATATATATATATATATATATATTCCGAAGGAGAGAACCCTTTGAAATTGGAAATCAATAAATGAAGCTTCGCGTATGCGTTTGGAGCTTTGTGGTGGATTCGGCAGAGGTTCTAGAATGTCCAGTGTTGCTTCGCCTCGGAAAGGATTCTATATTTATTGAAAAGATCAGAATCATTAATTTTTTATTTATATAATTTAAAATAAAAATCAAATATTTGCTACAATTGATGTGTCTTGAAAGAAGGATCTGCGTAAATAAAACCAGTCTCTCAGAAAGGTGAGCAAATATTAGGTCCGATGAACATACCTATATTTCACGTGGTAGATTACATAAGAGAATATTACGTACGCGTTAACTATACGATTAACGGCTGCGATTAGAGGGGGTTGACATATCTTGATGTTATATTTTTTTTCTTCTATGACAGGAAAAAATATTACATCAAGACTATTGATTCATTCGAAATTTAATGGTGGGGCGCCACATGTCAAGTGAGTTTCATCATTTTTAACACTGGTCAATACCAGTGTATTATAGTGGGGCCCACTTAACACGTGACGCTCTATCATTGGACTCCGAACGCAGACTACTTTAGGTGTCCGTATATAATATTTTCTCGTATGACAAAGAGTGAATACTATGTACACTAAACGTACATGTAGGTTGTGGTATTGGTGTAGTATTGAGGTGGCATTACACCACAATACAACCCCATTGCTACGAATAACACTCTAATATCGCGTCAATATTACCAGTTTACAATTAATTCACATCTATCTCATCCGCACATTATATATATATATATATATATATATATATATATATATATTAATTTCAGAAGAGTTATTATTATTTTTTTCTATTTGGGCACATCCAAGTCGTCGGAACACTTACGAAAATATGCATGCAATACTTTTCCTGAAACAGTGGTGCACGGTAGGAAATATAACCCACAACACTTTCCTTGCATCCAATTTGTCCATTCTGATGCCGGATCAGAAATCATTTTCTTCCAAATTTCCCCCTCACTCGGCTTCAGCCTAAATCCAGAGGAAGCCCTAGTCATCGTCCTGCTCCCAAGAGAAAATATTTTTTGTATGGAAATTCTATCAACACAGCGCAGTGAGTATTAAAATAATGTGTGCCATGGAATTTCTAAGCCTACAAGCTATCATCGATTGCTTTTTAAGATTGAAAAAGGTCATGAATATATGAAGAAGAAATGAACAAGATGAAGATTTTAAATGTGACATGTCTAGCATTGTTCCTGTTGTAAAAAGTTGTCTGATATTGAAGAAGGTTGTTGCATTCTACACAAGAAAACTATATTCCTTCTTTGAAGAAGAATTTTTTCACGGGATTTGTGGATCGGGGGCAGAAAAAAATAATAATAAAATTAATAATCGAACCGTTGAATATGATAAAAAAAGTTTCATTGTACAATGTTTTCGTTTGTTTTTCTCTCTTTTATTTTAGAAGGAGTCGCCAGCTTGCCGATCGTCGTATACTTCCCCCATTTGAATAAATCTCCCTTCCGAACCAGATCAATGATTCGAAGAGGAGAGGAACCGAATAAGAAGGGTCATACGACAAAACGACAAACAAGAGAAAACACAAAACGTGGAGAGTCTACGTGCGGTAAACTTCGCAAGGATAGGTTAAGAGTGTCCGCCCAAACAAGATCGAGCGAAAGCACCTTAGACCGATATCCCCGAAAGAATACCTACGTAGACTACTCATAACCAGAGATTAAGGTGTAGGTGCCTGTTCTGGGGTCAAGAGCACTCCCAAGGGGACGTATCTCACTTGTTTAATTACATCTTGGGGGTACCCAAGAATACTCTCGATAAAAGGGGTTTCATTTGGATTATTGTGAACCTGGGGCAATAAGTACTCAAAGGAATACTATTCCGAGTGGGAACGATCCCGATGTTTCAAAGCTCGCGCTAAGCCATCGGGCAAAGAGTGAGTCTCTCACATCCCGAATGGGTAGCGGCTCATCGGCACACGGGGCCCACGGAATAACCTAAATCATCTTGACGGGGATTCCCAACATGTCAAATCACGTTCGGGCCATAAGGGCAGAGGACAAATCATCGTATCCCAAATGGGCGGCAGCTCTTCGACATCGGGCCGTCAAAATGATATCAACAAAGTCAAGGAGCGACAGGGCTCAAAGGGGCTCAACAAAAAGAAAGGTAGAGTGATCCTAAAAGGTAGAAGTAACTAGGTCGGGGTACCACGAACCCGTCATCCACAGCTATTAGGACCCTAAGTCTACCTGATCGTGAAGGTAGTCGACCCAACACGTCCTGAGATCCCCTGTCAGCAATCTGTGAATTGCGTCGTCCACGAGAACCTCGGTAGCCCTAAGGTCAAAGGAACGAAACTCTATCCTATGACTAAAAGCTGGAGCTTCAAGAGATGGGACTTATATTTGTCGAAGTAGCAAGGATGCTTCAGGAAGGAAAAGAAAGTGGAGGTTCAGCTACAAAACTGGAAACGCTCCAAAAAAAAGGACTTACACCATGTCTGGGTCAGAGAGCCTTCTAACACCCTAGGCGCACTAGACAACCACCTATAAAGAGATATGTTGGGCCAGTCAGGTTGGAGAAGCACAGGGACTCCTCCTCAGGACATGCAAATATCATGCAATTTTCTAGAGCAGTCCTTAAGTATTGTGGAGGCCCTATTAACATAAGCAGGAAAGTAAATGTGAAAATTTTTAAATCCTGAATGTTTTAATCCTAAATTTTAATTATCTTGAATATTTTATTTAGGATTTTGTAGAAAATTATAATTTTAGGGTCCTTAATGAGCCTAGATTATATCGTGAAATCCCAGATCACAGAAAGAAACAAGGAAAACACATGCAAGTGCAGACATGCAATATGATGCAAAAAGCGAAAAAAACAAGTCAAATCAAAATAATTAACAGGTCGGTGTCGCTGGGTCGGCAACATATCCCAGAAAAGAAAAAGGCGGCTGGACTCTGCATATACATGCCCGTTCCTAATTTTATACATCAATATAAAATGCAGAATTAAGATACGGGGCACGAGCATCTGCTCCTGGGCCCCTCAACGTGGTTTCTGCGCCAAATTTCTGAGAACCTGTGACCATATCTTATTTATACTATATCTTATTTCTGCCACAGGACTCTCCTAGACTCTAAAAAGTACATAGGAAAATAAAAGACTCAATCCTGCATGAAAGCAAGTGTCAAAGGGAAAGCTCGCATGCAAATAATGTATCATGAGTCATGCCTTAAAGTGGGGGAGCTAATAACACCTGCAAGAAAAAGGGTCAGAAATCATTATTTGCTCCCCCTATAGCGGTACCTGTGTGTGTGCAAATAAATAGGCATGGCTCCCTGCAGAAGAACGCCCTAACATACTACCACACATATGCAGCATGCAGTCACATCACAAGCAAAATGTAGAAGAAAGATACCTGACTGGGCAACCAATCCAGCAGAGAACAATAGTCAGGCATCAAAAAGACTACCTAGCACCCTAAATCCTAGCCTAGCACACCATCTAACAAAAAGTGCGTCAGCCTAGTATCTAAGTGTGGGGTAAGTCTGGGTATAGTATGACTTTGACGGGGTCGTCATACCGGCCCCATCCTAAAGATCCAAAGGATCTAAAGGGTGTCACGAAGAGGGGTGACACGAGTTAGATCTATTAGATCTTTAGCACAGTCATACTCGTGTCAATCCCGATGACTTAACTCGCATTGCTCACCGGGATCAATCCAGCAAGCAATGCTCGTTAAGGCATCGCGACCAACACGGGGTCACTCTTTTAACGAGCCTGACTCGCTATCCATGCAAACATACATATGCAAATGCAATCAGTCATGTGATATAAGTAATGAGTGTACCGTGAAGCAGTGACACAGAAAAAGGTGGGCATGTCGTGGAGGCAGCGGCCCGAACAAATGGGTGTGTTGTAGCGGCGGTGACGAAAGGGATGGGCATGCCGTGGAGGCAGTGCCCCGAAGAAAAGTGTACTGTATGACCAAAAGGGATAGGCGTGCCGTGGAGGCAGTTGCCCGAAGAGAGGTGTACTGTAGTGGCAGTGACCAAAAGGGATGGGCGTGTCGTGGAGGCAGTGACCCGACGAAAGGTGTACCGTAGCAACAGTGACCAAAAGTGATGGGTGTGTCGTAGCGACAGGGGCCCGAAAGATGTGTACCGAGGCGGCAGTGACCCGGAGACAATGGTGATTCTCACTAGGGAGAATCACCCAAGTGCAAATGCAAATGCAAACACATATTGTGCGACATGCAAGCAGGCAAGCATGTGATATAATGCAAAAGCAGACAAATATGCAGGTGATCGGTCTACCGGGTCGTGGTGGTCGGGCGAAACCAAGCGCTACGCT